TTCGTTTCGTTTGCTCAATGATGCAGTGTACAACTGTTAACGTATCACTATAATGATTAAAACTATGTAATTTACACGGACAAGTAATTTCTTCAAAACAAAGAGTCTCTAAATAAAATATTTCAATCAGTTAAAGTAACCATAAGAATTAAGAATCTCTATGTCACAATGTTGAAATTGTAGCAAAATATCTGGATAATAGCCAGATGACGAATATCTCTAATGACACAGTACCCATGACATTTACAATCTATCATCTTAAATTTGCAACTAACCTAAAACAAAATTGTTCCAACAAAATTCCAACGTATACTTTGTTCATTACACTAATAGCATACATTATTATACACACAATTTAATCTGAAAAACAACTAAATAGAACGAGCAATGTAAGAACAACAAAATACAACCTATATTATACATAGTTGATGGGATTTCATGCATTCAATGAAAAATCTGAAACCAAGAGTGAAGGATAGAAGAGGCTTACATCAGAAGAGTTGCTGATGAGTTCTCGCAAGAAAATCTCCTTGTTGCTGTAGAACGTGTTGATAATGAGGCTCAGAAGTTGGTTGATCTCAGCCTGGAAAGCAAAGGTTTCAGCGTCCGCCATTGAATATCAGATGATACCCGCAGAAAATCACCGATTTATCAGAGAAGAGAAGGAAACGCAAGAAGGAAAATGAGCGAATTGCACAGAGCAGAATGCACAAGTTATAAGAGCGACTCGCAGAGAAATATTTTGTTGAAGGTAGAAGAAATGGAAGAGGTTTATATAGGAATGAGAACATGCGTGAAACAAACAGGTTCTGGAGTGTTCTACCTCTCTCTCGACATTTTTATTAGTAAACTGAACCAGAAGAAACGTTGTCGTTTTGTTTTTTGAGTTTAGCAGCAAAGTATCCGGAACTTTCCATGGCAATGGTTGTGTTTGAGGCACTAGAATGTTCTTTCTCTCTCATGCACAATGACTAAAATAGGGTCCCACAAAAATATTAAGGAGAAAATGTTTTTTACTCCATTATATTATATTTTCAAATTTGTAAAAGCTATTTTAGTTTCTTGAATTTGGAAATACTGTTTTTTACCGTCTTTTGAACTAACGATAATTTTATAAATTATTTTAATGTTTCTAATTTATTAATAAGGAAGTATAAATATATCTTTTCCAATTTAAAATACTAAAATAATTTATAAATTTCAACAAAATAATTTTTACCTCCTCTAGACATGGTTTATTTCAATTAAGCTAGATCAATATGAATTAACCCTAACAGTTCAGTTTGGCGTTTTACAGAAAAATATGTTTTCTTTGTTATTTTAGATTTTACACATATATCACACTTACTACTCTGTTTATCATGTATATTAATCAATTCTGATAGTTGTAATTTCAAAACATACGAGAAATTCACATGTCCTAATCTAACATGCCATATATCATACGAGTCAACAATATAAGCAGAAGAACTTGATTCATTAATATTTTTAGAAACATTTAGAATGAAGAGTCCTTGATCACAATATCCCTTCCTCATGAAAACATTATTTTTTGTCATAATGATATTGTATGACTCAAATGACACTTTAACCCCCACCTTTCCCAATAGTGCTACAGAGATTAAATTAACTCTGATTGATGGCACATGTAACACATCACTCAAGGCCAAAATCTTTCCAGATGTGAATTTGAGAAGAACTTTTCCTTTTCCCAGAACAGGAGTGGTTCTGGAATCACCGAGGTAAACGTATTCTTTTCCATCCCCAACACTAGTGTAAAAGGTAAAGGCACTTATGTTTGCACAAATATGTCTGGCAGCATCAGAGTCTACCACCTACTTGCTCACATTGGTCATCAGGTTTACTTGAGAAACAACCGCAATAATAATGTCATCTCCTTCGCTATATTGGCTCTAGAAGGATTGTCGTTCGCCCTGCTCCTGCANACCAGTCTCATCTTCATCAATGCTCAGACCCAGCTTCAACATCCTGTGAATCCTCGAAGCAAATGTGTTTGGATCATCAAGGCTGAAACCTGAAGTCAAAAGGGCTGTCTCAAACAGAAGCAACACAAGGTCCTTCACAGACTTGTCATTCTTATCAGCTTCAGCTCTCTTCCTCAACTCCTCCATTATACCATTGTCAGGGTTGATTTCCATGGTCTTCTTGCTAGACATGTAGCCACTCATGCTGCTGTCTCTCAGAGCCTGAGCCTTCATAATTCTTTCCATGTTTGCGGTCCATCCATACTCACCAGTAACCAAACAGCAAGGGGAATCAACAATCCTGTCCGAGACAACAACCTTCTCCACTTTGTCTCCCAGAATGTCCTTGATGACCTTGCAGAGCTCCTCAAAGGATTTCTTCTTCTCTTCTTTCTTCTTCTTCTCTTCCTCAGTTTCATCATCCAGTTTCAACCCCTCCTTTGTAGCTGAAACCAATTTCTTCCCATCATACTCCTTTAGTTGTCCGACTGCATACTCATCAATAGCATCCACCATGTACAGAACTTCATAGCCCTTCTTCTTCAGTCTCTCCAAGAAGGGTGAATTCTCCACAGCCTTTTTGCTCTCTCCAGTGATGTAGTAAATGTCCTTCTGTCCCTCCTTCATTCTCGTAACGTAATCCTTCAAGCTTGTCATTTCATCGCCACTTTTTGTTGAGTGGTACCTCAGCAAGTCAGCCAATTTGGACCTGTTCTGGCTATCCTCGTGGATACCCAGTTTCAAGTTCTTTGAAAAAGCATCATAGAACTTATTGTAGTCTTCCTTGTTCTCTGCAATTTCGTTGAACATCTCAATACACTTCTTCACAAGATTCTTTCTGATCACCTTCAAGATCTTGTTCTGTTGCAACATCTCACGAGAGATGTTGAGGGGCAAGTCATCGGAGTCAACAACACCTTTCACAAATCCAAGGTACTCAGGAATGAGCTCTTCACAATTGTCCATGATGAACACCCTCCTGACGTAAAGCTTGATATTGTTCATCTTTTTCCGGGTGTCAAACAGATCAAAGGGTGCTCTCTTCGGAACGAAGAGAATGGCCTTGAACTCAAGCTGACCCTCCACAGAGAAATGCTTCACTGCCAAGTGCTCCTCCCAGTCGTTGGTCAGGCTCTTGTAGAAAGAAGCGTACTCATCTTTGGTGATCTCTTCTGGCTTCCGCAGCCAAATTGGTTTCTGCTTGTTGATCAGTTGCCACTCGTGAGAAACCTCCTTGATCTTCTTCTTTTTCTTAGAATCTTTCTCCTTTTCCTCGTCTACCTCCTCGATATCCCCTTCTTCCTCCTTCTTGGGCTCATCATCTTCGTCATCGCTAATTTCTTTCTCGGTTGTCTTCTCCGTCCAAAGGTAGATAGGATAGCTAATGAATTCAGAGTGCTTCTTTACAAGATCCTTGATCCTCCTTTCCTCCAAGTACTCCAACTGTTGACAATCAAAGAGGTTAATCAGTCAGAACACGAGTAATATAAACCAAAACAACATAAAAAATCCAGCTTCTCAACAACAACATGGGTTCAGATTGATAAATTAACAGTACCTGATCTTCCTTGAGGAAGAGAGTAATCTTAGTTCCCCTTCCGAGTTGCTCGCCCTCAGTGTCCCTAGTAACAGTGAAAGAGCCACCAGCTTGAGATTCCCAAATGTACTGTTCATCGTCATTATGCTTGGTGGTAACAATGACTTTCTCCGCGACAAGGTATGCAGAGTAGAACCCCACACCAAACTGCCCAATCATGCTTACATCAGCACCAGCCTGCAGCGCCTCCATGAATTCCTTGGTTCCAGACCTCGCAATGGTACCCAGGTTGTTCACCAAATCTACAAACAACACAACATAAAAGCACGGTCAACAAAATTTCCTTCCAAATCAACAGTCGAAACTCCAAACACATTCATTCCATCTCATGCATGACTAATGTATTACCTGCTTTAGTCATTCCAATGCCACTGTCAATAATGGAAAGGGTGTTGTTGGCCTTGTCGGGCACGAGTCGAATGAAGAGCTCTGGCTGAGCATCGAGTTTGCTCTTATCGGTTAAACTCTCGAATCGAATCTTATCTAAAGCCTACATTTGAACAAAAATGAAATAAATCAAACACCGTTATATTCAAACATTTACGGTTAAAAAACTAACATTAACATTGCTGCAATTTCGTTTCGTTTGCTCAATGATGCAGTGTACAACTGTTAACGTATCACTATAATGATTAAAACTATGTAATTTACACGGACAAGTAATTTCTTCAAAACAAAGAGTCTCTAAATAAAATATTTCAATCAGTTAAAGTAACCATAAGAATTAAGAATCTCTATGTCACAATGTTGAAATTGTAGCAAAATATCTGGATAATAGCCAGATGACGAATATCTCTAATGACACAGTACCCATGACATTTACAATCTATCATCTTAAATTTGCAACTAACCTAAAACAAAATTGTTCCAACAAAATTCCAACGTATACTTTGTTCATTACACTAATAGCATACATTATTATACACACAATTTAATCTGAAAAACAACTAAATAGAACGAGCAATGTAAGAACAACAAAATACAACCTATATTATACATAGTTGATGGGATTTCATGCATTCAATGAAAAATCTGAAACCAAGAGTGAAGGATAGAAGAGGCTTACATCAGAAGAGTTGCTGATGAGTTCTCGCAAGAAAATCTCCTTGTTGCTGTAGAACGTGTTGATAATGAGGCTCAGAAGTTGGTTGATCTCAGCCTGGAAAGCAAAGGTTTCAGCGTCCGCCATTGAATATCAGATGATACCCGCAGAAAATCACCGATTTATCAGAGAAGAGAAGGAAACGCAAGAAGGAAAATGAGCGAATTGCACAGAGCAGAATGCACAAGTTATAAGAGCGACTCGCAGAGAAATATATTGTTGAAGGTAGAAGAAATGGAAGAGGTTTATATAGGAATGAGAACATGCGTGAAACAAACAGGTTCTGGAGTGTTCTACCTCTCTCTCGACATTTTTATTAGTAAACTGAACCAGAAGAAACGTTGTCGTTTTGTTTTTTGAGTTTAGCAGCAAAGTATCCGGAACTTTCCATGGCAATGGTTGTGTTTGAGGCACTAGAATGTTCTTTCTCTCTCATGCACAATGACTAAAATAGGGTCCCACAAAAATATTAAGGAGAAAATGTTTTTTACTCCATTATATTATATTTTCAAATTTGTAAAAGCTATTTTAGTTTCTTGAATTTGGAAATACTGTTTTTTACCGTCTTTTGAACTAACGATAATTTTATAAATTATTTTAATGTTTCTAATTTATTAATAAGGAAGTATAAATATATCTTTTCCAATTTAAAATACTAAAATAATTTATAAAGGTCACAAAATAATTTTTACCTCCTCTAGACATGGTTTGTTTCAATTCAGCTAGATCAATATGAATTAACCCTAACAGTTCAGTTTGGCGTTTTACAGAAAAATATGTTTTCTTTGTTATTTTAGATTTTACACATATATCACACTTACTACTCTGTTTATCATGCATATTAATCAATTCTGGTAGTTGTAATTTCAAAACATACGAGAAATTCACATGTCCTAATCTAACATGCCATATATCATACGAGTCAACAATATAAGCAGAAGAACTTGATTCATTAATATTTTCAGAAACATTTAGAATGAAGAGTCCTTGATCACAATATCCCTTCCCCATGAAAACATTATTTTTTGTCATAATGATATTGTATGACTCAAATGACACTTTAACCCCCACCTTTCCCAATAGTGCTACAGAGATTAAATTAACTCTGATTGATGGCACATGTAACACATCACTCAAGGCCAAAATCTTTCCAGATGTGAATTTGAGAAGAACTTTTCCTTTTCCCAGAACAGGAGTGGTTCTGGAATCACCGAGGTAAACGTATTCTTTTCCATCCCCAACACTAGTGTAAAAGGTAAAGGCACTTATGTTTGCACAAATATGTCTGGCAGCATCAGAGTCTACCACCTACTTGCTCACATTGGTCATCAGGTTTACTTGAGAAACAACCGCAATAATAATGTCATCTCCTTCGCTATATTGGCTCTAGAAGGATTGTCGTTCGCCCTGCTCCTGCACTGTGGTGCATGATGGCCCGACTTCACACGTACGAAGCAATTTTCTTTCTTCTTAAAGGTGAGTTTAGATTCATTGGGACGTGATTTAAGAAAATTATTTTTCTTTTTGTGATCATGTTTGTATTTGTACCTTTTTGGAGCAGTTTTACTTCTACCATATTTGCTTTTGCAGATAAACCTTTGGCCGTTGCAGTAGCAAACTCCTTCCTGTTGGTATCTTCAATTATTATGCGTGTAATGAGTTCTGGTAGAGACATCTGTTTGTGCATGTGTTTCAAATGTTGTTTGTAATCTGTCCAAGATGGCGACAGTTTCTCGATCAGAAGTTCTGAAACAAATTCATCCGGTAGAAGAATATTTTCTGCTTTGATATCTTCCAACAGCTTATGATACTCATTGATTTGGGTTTTTATGTCCTTGTCTTCAATCATCTCCCAATGGTAGTAGTTTCCTATGACGAATCTTTGTCTGACGACATCTTCGGCAATGTATTTGAGAATCAACGAGTCCCAAATGTCCTTTGCTTCCTTGTAGGAACAATACACATCGAACAAATAATTAGAAAGTGCATTAAGCAGAGTGTGTCGGCATACCTTGTTTGCGTAAGTCCACTCTTCAACTAGTTTTGAGTTTGAAGGAATAGTGTAGTCGGGCTTCGAAGATGAAAGAGCAACAACAACTCCATACATGTCTAAAAGGGTGGCACGCGTTCTTGTCAGCGCCGAAAATTTTGTCTAGAGAAAACCTCGATTTTTGACACGTCCGGAATTGATTTTGCAAAGACAGTCTAGGTTCTGGAAACAATGGTTTGGCTCTCCGAAGGCATGTTGTTGATGTCAACCATAAGTCCTTAAGATAGTTGTAAAAAGGTCACAAAATAATATTTAGGCGTGTAGAGTCATTGTCCTTAAGGACTTATCCATAGTGTATTGCGCAAGTGCCCCAGGATACAACAGGAACTTCTCATAATATCTGACAATCTCAAAACTACCAAGGATCACTAAAAAGAGTATAAAATAACCTAGAATATTTTTAGAAGAAGAAAAGAGGATGAAACTAGGAAGGAAAGGAGAATATTGATTTTGGTGTGTTTTGGAATGGAGGAAGAGTTCTCTATTTATAGAGCTAGGGAAGAATCAAGAAAATAAAAATAATAAATGATTTGAACGTTTGCAGTTAGTTTTTCTTTCCTTTTGTCATTGTGAAAATACTTCACGTACACACCATGTTCTGTAACGTACCTCTCAAAACCAATCTAATTGAGAAAACTATCAATACGAAGATTCTAAGCTCTTGGAGCTTGTTTGAGGCCATATAAAGCCTTGTTTAGCTTGTACACTTTGTGTAATTGTCCCTTAATTTCAAAACCTTGAGGCTGCATAACGTATACTGCTTCATCAATTGGCCTATTCAAGAAGGCTAATTTCACATCTAATTGGTGTGTATACCAATTCTCATATATTGAGACAACGACACGAACAGTTTCAATTCTTCCTACTAGAACGCATATCACACCATAATGAAGCCCATCCTTCTGCAAAAGGACCTTTTGGCACTAGTCTGACTTTATGTCTCACTACTTCCCCCTTTGGATTCATCTTTACTTTGTAAATCCATTTTAATGTTATACGTCTTTTGTTGAGAGGCAGATCAACTAACGCCCAAGTTTGATTCTTTTCTATAAAGTTGATTTCTTCATGCATTGCCTTCAACCAATTTGCATCCGTGATGGCATCTTCGAATTCTACAGGTTCAACTTCTGCAACTAATGCAAAGTGCACTAGATTTTCTTCAAATGTGATTGCTGAGACATTGAACATCTCATAATCCTAGAAATGTGATGGCAATTGAGTGATCCTGTGAGATCTTCTTACTTTTTGACCACTTCGTTGTTTGTCCCCCCTATAGTAGAATTGTCATCTAGTATGATGTTAGGTTGTGACATATCTCCAAATCATTTCTTTGATTACTTGATTTTCAACTCTAACATGATGTCTCATCAACTACAACATCCATACTGATTGAGACTCTTCTTGTTTCATGATCAAATAACTTGTAGCTGCCAATTGAGTGATACCTTATTATGACAAGAGGTACCTTTGTCGTCCATTTTTTGCAACAGTTGGTTTGGTACATGTTGGTAACACGTTGAGCCAAAATTTCTCATGTGTGTATTTTCCTCTCGGTCCAGGCTTCTTCTGGAGTTATTCCCTCAAGAGGTTTGATGGGTGATCAGTTCAAAATATAGGTGGCTGTCAGCACAACTTCTTCCCAAAAAATCATAGGTAAACCTTTGCTTTTTAATATGCACCACACCATGTTGAGGAGAGTTTTGTTTCTCCTTTGAGCAATACCATTGTGTTGTAGTGTATATGGAGGAGTTATCTCATGAGTGATACCAACCTCTTCAAAAAATTTCTTGAATTCGTTAGAGGTATACTCTCCACCACCATCAGTTTTCAAGATCTTCAGACATTGTCCACTCTGATTTTCAACCATACTCCTAAACTTCTTGAAAACAGCAAATGCATTGAGCAGATATGTCCACATCTTTCTTGTTAGATCATCAACAAAAATGATGAAGTATTTACTTCAACCAAGAGTTTCAACTTGCAATGGTCCACATATGCCTGAATGCACCATCTCTAGCTTCTTGGTTACCTTTTGTGTCACAATTTTATAGAAACGATTTCTTATTTGTTTGCACTGCTCACATGAGGCAATCCAACAACCCATTTTTGTTGGCTTAGATCATGTAGATGTCTAAAATTTAGGTGTCCAAACTTCATGCAAAATAAGAGAAGAAGGCCTTTGGAGTTCACTATAGGAGAGCATGTTTTTCTTAGACTGAATCCAACCACTGGAGTGGGCAGAGTCGTTCATCCTAAGAAGCTGTCTCCCAAGTTCGTTGGCCCTTATCAAATCCTAAGGAGAATCAGACCAGTGGCGTACAAGTTATCCTTGCCTCCTCAACTATCCAATCTTCATCCAGTCTTCCACGTTTCTCAACTTCGGAAGTACATAGCAGACCCTTCTCATGTACTGGAGTTAGAAGACGTTCGTCTTCGTCAAGACCGAACGGTTGAGATGCAACCAGTTCGTATTGAAGATAGTCGCACCAAGTACTACAAGAGGAAAGCCATTAGATTGGTGAGAGTGGTCTGGGACGAGAAGACTAGCGACTTTACATGGAAAATGGAAGATGCCATGAGAGATTTATATCCTCATCTATTTTCGGGTAAGCATTAATTTTCGAGGACAAAAATTTTTGTAGTTAGGGGGAATGTCAGACCTCATTTAAAACGCACCCAAAAACCCTCTGAACGGACGCCATGTTTCAAGCGAAGGGGATCCAGAAATTAGATAGTGGAAGGCAGGTGTCGGCAGATGAGCGGACGCTCGTTTTGACGTGGGAAGCAAAACTGATTTTTCAGAAATTCACGTCACACTCTCTGCATGCACCCTTCTTCCCCAAACTCTGAAAAATCTCATTTCTCCTCCTTCTCACTAAAAGATCTCGCTTCTCTTTACGAAATCTCACCATTTCTCTTCTCCGATCTCCGTTCAGGCACTGTAGAAGCACTTTCGGCGTCAAGAGCTTCAGTTTGAACCGATCGGTTTCGAGTTCTGAACTGGTAAGTTCTCATTCTCCTTTAGTCGTTCGTTCTCTGACACATGCAAACCAAGTTCTGGTTGCATGAGTTCATAGTCTCGTTCTGAACCATTTTGGTCTGTTGTTTGGTTTAGTTTGAAGAATTGTTGAGCGTTGAGGGTAGAAGGAATTGTAGTCAGGCGAACCTTATTTCTGCCTCTAGGAATGTTCGTTCATGCTCAGAGGTAAGGGAAGCTTATTAATTTAATTTGTATGATTAATTGCATTGCATGAACGTTCGTTGGATTGACTGAATTAATATGATATATGATGGTTGATATGTTTGGATTGTATGAAGTATGAAAATTGCCTATGATATGAATGTATGAAATTATGAAAATATATGTTGAGAAATGAGTTTTAAGATAAATGATTTCTGAATATGAAATTTCCCCTATGAGAATGTACGTTCGTAATTGAACGGTCCTTGATCGTTCGGTTTTTCTAATAAAATTGGAGTCTTTCATTTAGGAAGAATCCTAATTAAGGACGAGCGTCTTCGTTTCGAAATACTATGCATGAGCGTTCGGCCAAGCATAGTTGGTTCTTAGCGTTCGGTTATAAACTTAAGTATATATATGTATTTGCATATTTTCGTTTATTCTTAAACACTACTCCAATAGTATCTTATTATATTTATCAAGCCTTCTAAGACAATGTTATTAGTGCTCGGTCTTATACCAAGCGCTCTTACTGAGTAGTGCTCGGTCTTACACCAAGCGCTCATTCTCTTTCCTATAATCTATCTTGATGAAAATAACGTTCGTCCAACTTCAATAGAGTTCTTTCTCTACCGTGTTCGGTCATTGACTGACATTCGGTTTTTCTTGATGGTAAACTCAAATAATCTCAGTATTTATAAGCGTTCGGTTTCTTCATGTGAATCCTTTTAAATATTATTCTTTGAATATCTTGAAATGTCTGCATCCATTGGTTACAGCCTAGAGTCTTAGTACTTGGCATGGTTTTTCAGTGTTCGGTTGAAGCTCTCAAGAGTCAGTTCATCTAATTGGCTCACTTTGTAATTAATGTTCGTTCCATTCTTTTCTTGTGATATTTATTGCCCTTCTTTCTCTACCGTGTTCGGTCATTGACTGACATTCGATTTTTCTTGATGGTAAACTCAAATAATCTCAGTATTTATAAGCGTTCGGTTTCTTCATGTGAATCCTTTTAAGTATTATTCTTTGAATATCTTGAAGTGTCTGCATCCATTGGTTACAGCCTAGAGTCTTAGTACTTGACATGGTTTTTCGGTGTTCGGTTGAAGCTCTCAAGAGTCAGTTCATCTAATTGGCTCACTTTGTAATTAATGTTCGTTCCATTCTTTTCTTGTGATATTTATTGCCCTCGGTTTCTTTCTCAACTCGATAGTAACCCTCTTGGTCTTAATCCATTATGGAACTGGAGACCTCTCGGTCTCGCTCAAAAGTGTTCGGTCTATTTAAAGGTGAAAGTTGAACGTTAGGTATTTGGTACCCTTAGTGAGCTTGTACAAATGGTTAAAGTGAGATGATTGATAATGAAAGATGAAGAGAATATGATATGGATGAAATGTGTGAATTATGGACGAGCGTTCCGGAGAGGAATGACTCATGAATGAATATTGGAATTGGTAAAGTATGAATGTGGGCATGATAAGCTGATGATTCATCCTGATGTTCCGTGAGTACTCGTCCTCACGTAGAGGAGGATAGGTCATGTGTGGGAACGGTAGGAGGTCCTAGTCCTTATGGTTGATTTGGACAGATAGGATTAACCTCGGGTGACAACTGTTGAGGGTATCCCAGTTACTACATCACCCGGGTGCACGAACGTCGTAGCTACACAGATTTTATACCGTCTGGACAGTCAGTCTAGTGTTAGGCTTTGCATGAAATGTATGATGAAATTTATCTTGTGTGTTTGATTGTGTGAAATGTATATTTATACATGAATTAAGTTACATAAGCTTACCCTGTGTTTCATGTCTTGTCTGTTTTGTACGTTCGTCTTTGTCATTGCAATGATCATCCATGTGGATGTGAGCAGAAGGAGACGAACTGTTGGAAGAGGCGCTGGAAGAAGAAAACCTGGTCGAGGTAGAAGTTAAGACCGAATAGTAGAACGTTTGGTCAGTAGTTTAGTTTGATTGTAAGGTGGTCGTTCGATCACCTTCTCCTTTTGTTTTGAGTGACCGTTCGGTATAGGTTTTTGTAAACCGTTCGGTCAGAATTGTACCTCTGTACGACTTTAATTTCTCGTACTGCTTTGTAAGGCCGTTCGGCCATAAACGTGCGCTCTACTTTAGTGTAAGACTGATCTGTATTATTATTCAATGTAATTATTCTATTATATAGTTTTAGACTGTATTTTTAGAATGTTACAAATATCAAACGAATAAAATACTAATTTTTAAAATACTTATCATTAAAATAAACATAAATCATAAAATAAATTTATTAATATTTTTTTTCCTTATATCATAATATATTAAATGAGAAATGAACTTTAGTGTGTGGTCGAAAATTTAGTCATTTGACTCAAAATAGGAATAGTCATTTAAAAGAAAAAAGTAATTACAAATCGACTTATTTTCTCATTTTTCAATAAATCAGTGACTGTTTTTCATTCAAAATTGTTCTCAAATTACTATTTTACTATTTCTTATTTAGAACAATAAATTTATTTAAAGAATACAATTATTTCGTTAAAATTGATTAAAAATTAGTTTATTAATTGTATTTAAGGTTGTTATTGATATACATGAAAATTAATGTAAATATATATGCAATTGAGTAAACGAGAATTCTCGTCGCTTAATCAAGTCAAAAGTTTTGAAAATGACAAAAGTGCAGAAAACTCGAGTTAAAAGTAAAATTCACCTATCTTTTCAATAGTAGAGAAGGGAAAACGGTGAAAAAATAATGAAGAATACTTGTTTTTATTTTTTTAATTTTTAAAAATAAATCAATATAATTTTTTAAACTCAATTATATTATTTTTTTTAACATATCAAGCCTATTTTCCAGTTGATATTAAAAACAAATGTGTTACACGATATTATAATTAACATAAAATATTTTATGTTTGATACGTTAAAAGATATAATATAATTAAATTAAAAAAATATTTTTTTTTTTAGAATTTAAAGATCAAAATCTATGTTGAAAAAAACAAATTTTAATTTCGAATGAAATTGGAGACTAAAAAATACTTATTCTTCATTTTTAACAGAAAAATAAAATAAAATAATAATATATAAAATTATAAATAATTAAATAAGGTCAATATGCGACAGATCTGATTTACGTTAACCCTGTCACTGTCCTTTGATCTTACAACCCCAAACACAGACAGAGAAACTACTAGCGCATGTTAGAAACATCGCTGACCTGCCACGACCACCCCTGTTATCGTGCGCTGTCTCTCTCTCTTACATGAGGAGCCATTGCCTCCATGGGAACCAAATTACTGAAGCGGAGACTCCGTGAGTCGCAGAACCCTCCCATGGCCGCCGCGGTTCCTCCGCGGCGCAAGCCTCGGTCCTACGTCACGCTCTCCATGCTTCTCTCCGCTGTCCTCATTGTTTCCGTCATCGCTCTCTTGGTCCTTTCGTCGAACAATTGGCGCGCGTTCCAAAGCAGGCCTTCCTATGGAACGGTCACCGTCGTCAATGTGTTTCCTCATGATCCAGAGGCCTTCACTCAGGTCAACCTTTTTCTTTCGTTGTTTGAGTTAGTTTACAACTTGATGACTTGTGTGTTTATCTATACAAATTAGCCCTTTGAGAGATGAACTTGATACTCTAATCTGATGACTTCGATTTTGGTGCATTTTCTGTGTAAAAATTGTTGTAGTGTTTGATCAATCAGAACTTACGATCAAGGTTTTTGAAAACAGTCCGCTACTGCTAGGATTGAATTGCAAGCTATAGGACTGGAGTTCCACATTGGAAATTTAAGATTGTAGTGTGGGGTTTATTAGGCCTTCGGTTCTCCGACTACAACAACTAGTTGTACCGGACTTGAATGCATTTGTCTGTAATATTTGGTAATATCAAGAAATGTGGCTAAACCTTGCTTTATATATATAACTTTCGCTACACAGTTACATAAGTCAACAATTTTATCATGGACGGTAATCTATGATTGGATGACTGTGTAAAGATCATACTGTGTTTTCTTCTGTAGTTTTATTTTCAAGTAGTTATTTCTCAGGCAACTAGCTCATTTGGAGAGTGAATGCAATGAGAAATCTAGGTATTTTAGTTGGGAAAAGTAAGAGATTTGTTGGAAAGAATTAGCCCTTGGTTAAATATCTTATTATTAAAACCATGTATTTATTCTGTGAAGAATGTTTACATAAAAGAAGCTGTCACAAGGACTCTTGAAGGGATATTTTAACATAAGTTCCTTAAAGGGATACTTTTAAGTATAGTGGATTTCAGTTAATTTCGAAGAAACTGTTGGCTTCTGCACAAAACGAAGATAAGAAATGATATAAAAGAAAAACTGAATTCAGTGTTGGATGCAAGAACATATGGAGCACATTGTCTTCCTGGTAAAAATGAATGTTGAGCTTTATGCTGAGGAGACATTTTTTGAAATTATTAGTT